ACGCTTTTTTATTAAGTTGATAAAACTACATATTTCGCCAGCCAAAAAGTGTATAAATAAATATATAGCATCTTGCTATAAGATTTATTTATAAAAACGGTATGTTTGTGGCCTTATTCATAAAAAATAAAATAGATTTAAAGAGCTCTGTACAGTAACATTAAAAAAAATAGATTTGTTTACTTTTTAAGAATTTTGGTATAACATTTAACTTAACTTTTTGTGCACCCATCTCTATATCTATTTATTATTCTCAATTTTTTTTCCTTAATACTCATTTGACTCAGTTTCAATTACACCCAGTAAAAATCATGATAAAAACATTAGAAAGTAAAACCCACGCCGAATTTATATAAGGTGGTGCTACTAGATCAGCTGATTTTGTGTATGTGTTTCGCCTCACGGCTTCTTATGTCAAATAGAAAAAATTTTGTTTGAATTTCCACACACAGATTTTGGCCGTTTATGCCGCCAAAGCAAAAACAAAATACATGTAAGTTTTTGTTTTTGTACTCCTGCCATGATTTTTTTCTGACGTTTGCAAACATTTTAAAATCATATAAAATTGAAAATAAATGAAATTGTTCACAATTGTTGTTGTTTGAGATTAAAAATGAGAATGTGTGTGTGTGCTTGAGTTCCAATTTTAAAATTATACTGCTGGCAAACGTCAGACTGTCTGTAACGTTTTTATCATGGTAAAAATCAAAATATTTTATAAGGAATTCGTTGTTTTTGTTCAAATTGAAAATATTTCCTCCTTCGCACAATTCTTCATCTTGCTATTGCTGAATATCAAAAAGGAATTAATAAATAATAAAAAGTTAGTTACAATTTTAGTGAATGGTTCTTGCAAATAATAGTATTTTGTGGTTGAAATGACTTGATCGCCGGCAGCAACGAATCAACTTTTTTGCCAAAACCAAAGCAGACGGGAAGGAAAAATAGTTGTTCATTAACAATTTGTCCGAAATATCGTTCTTGAAACGCGCTACTGCTCACTAAATTGGTAAAAATCAAATTTTTTCACTTAATTGTTATATTTTTCTTCATTGTGGTAAACTTCCACATCATCACAGCAGCTGGCTGTCAAACCGAAACCAGACAACTAAGAAAGTCTAAGTTCGGGCGGAGCCGAACATTAAATACCCGGCGCAAATATTAAATATTTGCAGTGTTGCCGTTTTAGCCCTTTGGTGGCTACCACATAGTTTTTTTGGCCACATAAATTTAAAATTGCCCCTAGCCCTTTTTTTGGCCCTTTGGAGAATTTATTCATACTTGGCATGAAAAAGTTGTATATGCTTAATTTTATCTCAGTTTATTTTTCATTTATGTAAGAGATGAATTTTTAAACTAAGAAATACTGATATATACATATACTTATTGTATGTTCCTTACGTTTTTATACATACATAATCTAAAAGTGTTATGGCTGTTGGCTTATCTATTACCGATTTAACTATCGTTTAAAATAGATAAGTTTACGGCCCTTAATATGCCTAATTTGTTAAATGGCCCATTAAGTCGATTGACCGTGTATGTTCTTGTGGTGTGATTGTACCAGCTGCTGGTGTGACTTCAAAAACTATTTGAAAATTTTATGATGGTACCAGCATGCTGGTGTCGTGGGTGGTGAAGTTAGCTCAATTTTCTAAGTAAAAATTATTTTGGCGGAAATTTCTTGCACTATATGATATAAAAAAAAAAAATGTTTAACAAAATGGCAGAAAAATTGTGAAATTTCGGCTCTAATCATTTCGATCTTTCCTCGACCTCATTTGTAAAGAAATAAATATTGTACTAGCATGCTTCGAGCCTGATGGTACAATCACTTGATGGAGCCAGCAAGTTGGTGTGGTATATTTCCCCTTTAATACAAAAATTTCTTTGGTTGGATAAAATATAAGCTTTTTTCCAGAGTTCATTGTTTTTCTATACCATTACTTATTGAAAATGCTTGCATGTATACTTAAATATGTATATGTAAGTAAAAAATTTTAGCTACCATTTTTAGCCACAACGACTTTTTTTAGCTCTTTTTTAGCCCTTTTTTTTAAGGAATTTGGCTACCACTACAAATTATTCGCGGCAACACTGAATATATGTTTTTCACCCTTCCGAAAGCTACCGCTACATGGCCGGGGTGTATCAATTTTGAGTAAATTAATAATAATAATAATAGATTGGCGCTTACACATATGTTAGTGTTTGGCCGAGCTTCTCTTCCGATTTGTGGCGTGCGCCTTGATGTTGTCACACAAAGCGGAGGGACCTACAGTTTTACGCCGGCTCCGAACACCGATTGTATTTTTTGTGAGAAGCTGTTTTTCATGGCAGAAATACACTCGGAGGTTTGCCATTGCCTGCCGAGGGACGACCGCTGTTAAGAAAAAACTTTTTTTTGAGTAAATTAGCGTCGTTAAATTTCGAAATATTGAAGTTTCAAGCATTTCTAAAATTTACCGTTATATGAAAAGCCGTAATTTTAGTCCGATTTCAAGAATTTTGAACGTTTTCTTTTATGTGGCAAGCACAATAACCTTACCGAGTTTGGTACAAATTGGTAGAACGGTTACCGAGATACATATATGTGATCATAAGTGGGCGGTGCCACGCCCATTTTCCAAAATTTTATCATAAACGTATTTCTTGGTTAAGAATTGTTGCAAGCGTCAATTTTGAATAAATTAGCTTTAATATTTACTGATTTATCGAAGATCTCATATTTCTCTAAATTACCCTAATATGGAATGTGGGCGTGGTTATTGTCCGATTTTAAAAATTTTGGGCCATTTGGTATGCTGTACCAAATCCAACAACTGTGCCAAGTTTCGAAGAAATCGGTGCAGCGGCTGCCAAGATATACACATGTAACCATAAGTGGGCGTGCTACGCCCATTTTTCAAAAATGTATAATATTCTTATTTTTCGTCTAAAAATTATTGTAAATATCAATTTTGAGTGAATAATCTTAAGTAGTTACTAAAATATCGCAGTTTTCGTATTTCTGAAAATTATCGTTATATGGGAGGTAGGCTTGGTTATTGTCCGATTTTGCCCATTTTCAATACCATCCGTCCTACGCCCGAAAGAAGTACACGTACCAAGTTTAATTAAGATATCTTAATTTTTACTCGAATTATCGTGTGCACAGACGGACAGACGGACGGGCGGACGGACAGACAGTCACCGCTTCATCGATTTCTCTTTTCATCCTGATCATTTATGTATACATTTGTCTATCTATCTCGATTCGTTTTGCCTGTTACAAACAACCGTTATGTGAACAAAGTTATAATACCCTTGTGCACAAGTGCGCTCGGGTATAAATAGATACCAGAATATTCAGGGCGCAATCTTCTTTTCTATGATTATTGTACTGCTACTTTGAATTTCTCAATTTTGACAATTCTGATCTAAAAGTAAACGAAACCTCAGAAACTTTAAATGCCCTGCAATTCACTAATACCTACTTCCGCAAAAATCACCTTTTTTCGTATTTTCCTTGTTAAAAGTTATTTTAAATCATATATTTTTATCGCCTTATTCATAAAAAATAAAAATTTTAAAAAGCTTTTTAAATTGCCGTTTGCAAACATTTTTCAATTTATAAACCTTTTTTATGAATAAGGCTATTAGAATTTAGCACAATACTACTATTAATGGTAACCATATTCATTAAAATCGTTTCAATTCATAATAAAAGTAGTTTACATACTTCTAGTCGAAATATGTTTTTCAATATAAACTAGCTTTTTTAATTCTAAAATAAATCAACAATCTCAAGGCTTATAAAAAAATTTTCTTAAAAAAATGCAAATTAGAATAGAAATTTTGACGCAAAAGATTTTCCGCGATATTTATCATACAAATTTATCACCTTACTTGTCCGTATGTCGCTCTGGAAATAAATATATTTTAATTCATATGTTTTCTTAAAAATAAATGCAAATTTACCTATTTTTTCCACCGGCAGGCACGAATATGGTATTCAAAACAGAAACAATGACAACGAATTTTACACACATTTTTGTATTTTAGCGCAAAACGATAAGTTTCATAAATATTTAAAATTATTGCCTGGAACATACACGTTTATCGTTATTATTGGAAATGCAAGACTTGGCATGCATTTTTAATTTCTCATTTAATCAATTCAAACGAATAAAAACACATTTTTCCAAAATATTTCTCAATTTACATTTTAAAGTTTTTTCTGAAACTTGAATGTAACTCTGTGCGGAGAATGAGAGAATTGAATGGCGCTTTCCATACATGTAAGCCTATACAATGATTGGCAGTAACCTATCTGCGCAATGTGTTTGGATTTAGCAATCAAAGTAGGGACGGCGGAATTAAATTTATAATCGATTAATGCACCAAATGATTAATTGCAAGAAAATAATCATATTGCAATAAATCGTTAAAAAATAATCGATTTATCGATTATTTTCTTGAACATTTTGAGGTCATTAGGAAAATAAAATTTAACTATACATTAGAAAAAAACTTAAGTATTTATATCTGTGGTTAGTATTTTAATGAAATATATTAAAGTTTATAATGAATTGACTGTACACATCACAAAGAAAATTTAATACTAATTTTTCATCCATGAATTCAAAAATAAGAGTTTTGAAAGTATTTTCGTTGTTAATCGATTTCGTATTTCATTTGCTGTCGCACCCGCTTTGGAAAAAAGACGTTCCGCAGGAACGAACGTTGCCAGTAAATGGCAGTATTTTAATGACAGTATGTAAAGCTTGGGATAAACTCCTTTCATCTCTTGCCACGCGAAAAGAGGATTGATGTTTAGGTCGATAGGCGGTGAATTAAAAAAATAATGAAATTCATCCTCATCACTATTTGAGTTACACTTAACCGATAGGGATTTGTGTAAAGACCAAATGTCAAACCTATCATCTTCCGACTGTAATGTTAGATCTTGTGATTGGGAAGCAATTGTCGAACGGCTGCTTGTCATTTGTATTTCGTTTTTCAAATGACGTACTGTTGATGACACAGCTAGTGCATCTTCGAAGTGTAACTTCTTAAATCTAGGATCCAATAATGTGGAAGCAGCGAGCAAATATGATTTTTCTACATTAAAAAATCGACGATTGAACTAATGGATGATTTGATCTTTCAACAATTGTGATATTCTATTGCGGCATGTCTGATTCATTATCTTCTCACGTCCACAGTGAACAATTGGGATAACGTGACTCAACGTAGCACTTTTTTCACCGCTAAGTTGCACTGTTATAGCTTCTAGATGATGTAAAATGGCTATTATTTCTTCCAAATAATCTTTTTCCTTAGATGAAATGACATCAGGAGCATCTGGATAATTTAGTACGATTTGGCTGACATACGGCAATAACTTTATGAACCTCTGGAGCATATAAAAGGTGGAATTCCACCTGGTTCGCACGTCCAAAATAAGCTTCAGCATATTCCCTTCTGGGACTCCGGCAGCGCTTTGAACTTTTCCCAAGTCCTCGTTGGAATTTACATGACGCTTTATCCACGATATTAAAGTTCTGCATTTACTTATTAGCTCTTTTACCTCAGGAACATTCAACGAGTTTTCACAAACTAGATTTAATGTGTGGGCGAAACATGGGATATGTTTGTTTTTTCCAAAAACGTTTACCACTGCCTTAACAATATTTGCACCATTATCCGTTACAACTGCAGCTACATTGTCAATGTTAAATTCGTATTTTGCCAGTGAAGAACGTAGAATGTTCGAAATGTAGTCGGCAGTGTGCGCTTCATAGAGCTTAAAAACACCAATTGTCGCACCAAATTGAGTTGTAGATTTAACACAATGAAATGTAATACCCAGCATGCTATTCATTTGAGTATCTGTCCATATTCAGTTGTTAAGCAGATATGATTGCAGTCTTTTATAAATTCCTTAAATTTAGTATTTTCTTCCTCAAACAGATTATCAATATGCGATTTGATTGTATTTCTCGTTGGAATTTTGTAGAGAGGAAAATTATTCTTTACAAATTTTTTTAAGCCCACTCCTTCAACAAAGCGGAAAGGTAAGTTGTCAATAACTACCATCTTCGCTATTGACAAAGTTAATTTTGAGTGCTTTTCGCCTCCTTCTATAAAAGTAAAGACTTAGATTTTGCTGAATTATCACCGCATGTTTAAGTAAAATTACCTTTGTAATCTGTTACGTTTGACATAACGTCTAACAAACTTGGCTGGCGAGACCTTTGAAATTTAACACCAGAACACATTTTTGACGCAAGTTCTTTGCCACTGGATTCCTTGCTGATAGATGCAGCAGATGACGTAGATGCGCCTTCCTCAATGAAAATTATTTTGTCGCAATTTTTCTAAAATAATTAAAAGCAAGTATTTAGTTGTTTACAAAGTGTATACCAACTTCCATACCTCGGACTTCGAAATTTCTAAGGCATGCTTTAGCTTCAAATGTTGCATCATATTCGTGGTGTTATTTGATGTATTAATTATTTTTGCACAATACTTGCATTTTGCCAAACTATTTCCTCGCTTATCAAAATGATTCCATGCAATGCTTTTCGGCGGTGCCATGGTAGAATATTTTAACTCTTTAGTAAACTCCAAATGCGTACGTTAATTTTCACGAAGGGTGTCCACTTATAACAGGGTTGTACCCTAATTATTTAGTATAGTTGCTATATGGTTCCGTTTACGTTGATATTTATTTTTAGCCTAGCCACACGTAAAGAGAATAATACTTTTTACTGTTGTTTTGAACCGTGTATATTTTTCGATTATCCTAAGCAAAATAAATCGATTAATCGATTAATTGAGATAAGAAAAATAATCGTTGGATTCAATTAAATCGTTGCGACATAATCGATTTATGCAATCAAATGATTTTAATTGCCATCCCTAAATCAAAGTGAGATAGCTTTGAGCGAAATGTACGTTTTGCGCATGCGCAGGTTTTTCATGTATTAGTATCTGTGAATAAATAAGAAAAATACATTCATGCAAATCTGACCTGTCCTTAGCACTTGAAAATAAATTTTAAGGGGATTGTTTTACTATGGGGTGTTATGCCCCTTTGTTGACGATATTTACATATACAAACTGAAAATTTATGATGAAGTATTAAAATTTTATTTGAAAGCTACCTGGAAATTAAAAACCGATTTGAAAATTTTTAAAATGATTAGCAATTTTTTAATTTAGAATGTTTAACTCAAACATATTTTTCACTGGGTAAACATTTTCTCACTATTCAGTTGAAAAGGAATAAATAAATACTAGAGTGCCAGCCTCTGTCGAAATTCGACCGTTCTTCTAGTTTTTTAAGACCCTCGAAGAGGTTTTAGCACGTCGTTTAACTTATAATGTACAAAATTATTTGCCGAAAAATCTCCTGCTTTCGAACTAAACCTTAACTTAAATTTTTTATATCTTTGAAGGTTGTTGGCAGGACTTGGAATATAACCGATACATTCCAGTTTGTCGATAAATTTCGATAATTTGATATAGGCTGGCGTTACGCGTACCGTGCTGAGGATCAGCCTGGCTGGGAGCCCCTAAATAGCCCAGTCGCTAACGGAGCCCTCTGGGAGCCAGGCCGCACCCGGTTGCATTCGATGGCCTTACCCTGGGTACTGCGGATCTCTGCCCGGGGCCGACGAACCCTTTCTCCGCGACTAGTGGGAATATGAGCGACACACACAAAAATACAACCAAACAAAAACCAACAACAACAACAACGAAAATTGAGACCGGCACTCACCAAAAGTCGGAAGGGAAATTTCCCACACACCATGGGGCCCATGCGATGCAGGGTCCCTCTACTAGCCACGACGTGGCCAACATCAGTGGAGGACGTAAGCCTCTGGCGATGCCGGGGTCTCGCGCATCCACAAAAGCGGAATGGAATAGGGTTGGGGAACCGAAACGGGATTTTCCCGGCACCAGTGAAGGCAAACCTGGCTTGCACCTTGCAGCCCCAGGGGGCGCTAGAGCTGATGCGCGGGCCCCGCCTCCCCCTATACCTACTGCTTTCACAAGGCCTGATGACATGCCACCACCAAGCGCAGCCATTGCTAAGCACCGGAAGGCTGCCATGAGGATCTTGAAGAGATCCGCTTTAACACCGGACCTGTGTAGCAGGGCGCTGCCCTGTCATGTGGAAGAGATCCGGTCGGAAATAGCATGGGCAATGACCATAGCGCCCGACTATCAGCGTCCGGTGCTCGGAGAGCCACTAGCTGCGGAAAAGCGCAACAGATCGATGGAAGTTGCGAAAAACAAGTCGAAGAAGGCCAAGACGCAAGGCTCATCCTTCGCTGAGGTAGCCAAAAATCGGATCCTCCTGGGTGTGCTCGATGAGAACCAGGAAGACGAATTAGCACTTAGAGCTCATTGGAAATGGTTTAAAGCGGAATTGGCGAACATCTGCGTTAGCGTGCTTCGAGAGCACCCCGGTCCACCTCCAATATGCCGGGACGCAGGTTGGTTCCAAGGCAACGTCAAGGTCGTCACGTGTGACGACGAAAGGTCTGCAGGCCTGTACAAGAAGGCGATGGCCACACTGGGAGAGGTCTACCCCGGAGCGATGCTACGGGTTATGGACTTCAAGGTCATCCCATCCAGGCCTAGAGCAAGGGCAAGGACACCGGCTAAACCGACCGAACCTGAGAGAGTGCTTGAGATTATAAGGCTCTTTAATCCGAGTTACCCTCTCACAATTGGAAGGTGGTGCGACTAGAGCATAGCACAAAGGCGACTCGTCAGGCGGCCCTTCTGCTAAACAAGGAGTCCTTGCCACTCCTCGAAAATACTGGGGGCGTCATTAATTACGGTTTCGACACCGCGAAGATAAGGGTGTACACGAATGACGTCAACGCAGCAAGAGGCAACGAAGTTGAGCCGGAAGAAGACAATAGCGAGGATGAGGTGGTCGAGGAATCCAACCAGGCCAATCCGATGGATGACCTGGCTGGTGGATACGCCTCATCTACATCCTCTCTGCGAGTCGACCATATCTTCCGGCAATACACAGAAGAGGAGCTGATGTCAGACGACGACGAGGCGAACTCAACAGTGGTGGAGGGGGTGGGAAGGTGCGGCCAAGATGGTTCGCGTCCTCCAGATTAATCTTCACCACAGCAAAGCAGCGTCGGCTGCACTGCTGCTTCAGCTCTCAAAAGGGGCAGCAGACATCGCCCTCATCCAGGAGCCTTGGGTGATAGGGCATAGAATTTGCGGGCTGAAGTCGGCAGAGCACAATTTGATAAGTGGAGCTACCATAGGTCAACCAAGGGCCTGCATTCTTGTAAGTACCAAACGCAAAATATCTAGGCGTAGTCCTGGGCAAAAAGCTGAACTGGGCGCAAAATATACAAGAGCGTGTTAAAAAAGCGACGGTGGCCCTCTACAGCTGTAAGGGGGCGATTGGACGTAGCTGGGGCTGTCCCCTAGCATCATGTACTGGCTATACACAGTAGTCGTTAGGCCGATTCTATTATATGGGGTCTTGGTATGGTGGCCAAGTCTCAACAGGAAATCTACAACTGAAGCACTCCAAAAGGTGCAAAGAACTGCGATGCTCTGCATCTGTGGGGCTCTGCGCACAACTCCATCGGAGGCTATGTGCGTGCTGCTCGACATTTTGCCAATTTAAATTGTTGGAAAACAATCAACGGGGTGTGCCGCCTTGAGGTTGAGGGAACTACCAGGCTGGAGGGAAACTCAGGAAGGCCACAACGCAATCTTAAAGAACGTAAATATACCGGACACGGATTACTGTCCACCAAGGTTGAACTTCACAAAGAGGTATAGGATTTCCATTCCAGATAGAAAATTCTGGTCAGGAGGGGCTCCCGATAAAAATCGATCACTCCACCTCTACACCGATGGCTCTAAGCTAGACGGCAAGGTAGGATGGGGTGTCTCCTCAGCGCGGCTGGGGCTGGAAATATGTTTTCGCTTACCCAGTCACTGCAGCGTCTTTCAAGCTGAGGTCGCTGCTATACAGGAAGCGGTTGAACACCTACGTACAAGAGAAGTCATTTATAACGATATCTTCATTTACTCACACAGTCAGGCCGCACTCAAAGCGCTCGACTCCGTCACATGCAGTTCAAAAACCGTAGCGGACTGTGGCAGATCCCTAAAGGAGATGGCTGAGCAGTCTGCGCTTCACTTGGTATGGGTTCCGGAGCACCGCAACATACCAGGCAATGAAAGGCGGACGAGGTTGCAAGAGAGGGCA